CTCCCTCCCTCCCTCCCTTCCTTCCTTCCTTCCTTTCCTGCCCAGGCTGATCTTGAACTCCTGGACTCAAGGGATTCTCCTACCTCACCCTCTCAAATACTGGGACAATAGCTATCATCTCTGCCTGGGATTTTATTCTTAGTTTGTTAAGAAGACCTGGTTTGTCTTTTCTTCTAAATATGCTTCATTCTATTTCTGAAACTATCATTGTGAAAGTGTGTGTGTGTGTGTGTGTGTGTGTGTGTGTGTGTGTGTGTATTTCCTTTGCACAGATTTTTTTTCTTTGCAAGTTCTGATATTCAAGAGTTTGGGAGAGTGGTCTCTTCTATAATATCTGATATGTGTTAGAATATTTAGTAGTGTTAGGATATTTTTAGACCAAAAGTAATGGCACACCAGCATTCATTTTCATCAGCAGCTCTAGAAGATGTTAAAGTATATGATATAATTCTTTTTGCCCTCTATCTTCCTTTATCATTAATATGAAATATTTAAACATGAGATAACATGGGTCATGTCTAAATTTGCACATTAGAGGAGGAATTTGTTCCAAGGTATTTTCAAAATRAAATTACTATTCTAGAGATTTTAAAGAATTGATAAATTCACACCCAAGAAGCTAAGATAATATCTGATATGTGTTAGAATATATAAGCTGACATGGTTTCAGAAATGTGCAAGATGATTTCTGCAAGTTCATTTTTCCAGAATTTTCTTATCTGTCATATTCATGATAAATGTTACTTAAGATAAATCTTAATCATTAAGATTTAATAGTGGAAGTGGAAAGCTAATTGGGTGTGTGGTTCCTAATTCATAAATCAAAAAGCACTATGACAAGTGATCATAATGGTATAACATGTGTCTTTGAATCTAGGGATGAGGAAAAAGAATGCCAAGTGACAAAAAGTGTGATTATAATGCTTACAGTAAATTTGTGAGCATAGCATATGGAGTTACTCTTATGCAGGGTTAGAAACTATATTCACCCCTGAAAGAAAAAGCATGTAAGTTGGGAACCCTTTGGTTCAACAGGTACTGAGTCCTTTGAATCTCACAACCTGGAATTCTGATTTTTTAAATTTCATTTTACATTTTGTCTGTGGTGATAGAGGCTGAGTTTGAGGTTGAAGAAGGGGAACAACATAAATACAGGAATTCTCTCATTCTCATTTGCTCATTTCTTTCTCTCTCTCTAAAAGTATGGTGTTTGCTTTGCTTAAGTTAGATGGGTATACATTGCAACTCATTTCATTTCATTTTTATTTGGAATAAATACTTGAGATCTGCATATGTTAACTCTTTCCTATCAGGTGCTTTTTCCTCCCCAATAGTACTCTGCTTCTTCTCTGGCAACACATTTTTGACAGTAGAAGAAACTCATTTGCATTAATAACTTTATTTGAAGGCATCATCAATAAAGGCACGAAACCCCACCCCCCCAAAATTGTCCTGTCATAGTGCCAAGGGGACAGTTTTCTCCAAATTCCTCTTACAGAGACCTTCTGCCCTGTGTCCTATTGGTAATTGGCCATAGGTAATATTATCCCCAATCCATGTAGAAACAACTACACATTAAGAGATTTTTAGATTATAATTTTGTTTCAACTTCAGTTGGTACCAATCCCACCAATATGTACCATGCATTCATTGAGGATGAGGCTCTGTGCTAGGTGCTTCCCAAATCCCAGAGATGTTGGACACCATACGGTAAACTCAGACATAAATAAAATAAAAATAAAAATGTGCTTAAGTAAAAATGAAATGTAAAATAATACTGAAAGATAAGTTCTGAGCTGTAAGTTCAGAGCAGGCTTTCTAGAGAAGTTGGCTTTGGAGTTTGGTCTCAAAGAATGAGAAGTATTTGGCCCAGCAGAAATGGCAGACAAAGATGTTTCAAGCCACATCAGTGCCATGCGCTTCACCTGTCACTCATTTGGTGGCCATGGAGAACAGATTCCCTTCCTGAACTACCAAAGATTGAGCCAAAAATCAGAAAAGAAGTTTGCATTTGGTAAAAAAAGAGAGGTTATCAGGATATATAGAGAGGAGGATGCCTGAGCTGAATGAGGCTAAAAGACAAAAGTGTGACTGTGTGGCCAGCATTGGACTCTAAATGTCCTGAACCAGGAAGCAGCCATGAGAACTGGCAAGGGAAACAAGTAGGTAATCCAAGTGTGATTCATTCAGTCAGAGAATCAGTGCCTACTGGGAAAACAACTTTAAAAAAAATTTTTTTTTAAATTTACTTAAAACCTAAATATCATGCAATCCAAATTTTAAAAATTTGGAAATATATAGAATAAAATGTCTTTTTCTCCTCACTTTCCAAATCCCAGTTTCATTGCCTAAAGCTAACCTCATCAATAGTTTCTTAAGGTTGGCCCCAAAATAAGACAAAACAAAATCTCCCAACCTTATATGAACATGGAATGCATGTCCTTTTCATTTATATCAAATGGGATCATATTATATACACTGTTTTGTGCTTTCCCCCCCTCACTTAGTAATATCTCTTAGAAATCTTTTTGTATTAGCACACATGGCTGTACCTCACTGAATAATAGCTGCTTACAATTCCACCATATGAATGTATCCATAATTATTTAACACATTTTTATTGATTGAGCATTTATATTGTTTTTYTGGTTTTGCTGTTACAAAAAGTGTTGCAATATATGACCTAAGCCAAACTGAACAGACACTTAACAGATGAAGAAACACAAATGATCAACAAATATAGGAAAAAATGTCCAACCTCTCTGGCAATTAGAGAAATGCAAATCAAAACTACACTGAGATTCCATCTCACTCCAGTTAGAATGGCAATCAGTACATACAGATCAGAACCATCATTTTAATACTTAATAATACAGTATTTAATTTATATGCCATAATCTGTTTAACCAGTCCTTCTTTGAACAGTTAGTTTGGTTACAGTATTTGGCTACAATAAATAGTTCTCCAAAATATATCCTTTTATGTATATCTATTATTATTATCATCATCATGATCTGATTATTACCTTTGTATGAATCCTAGAAGTGAAACTGCTGGGTTTTTTGTTTTGTTTTGTTTTACARTATCTTTATTTAATTTACTTATTTATATATGTGGTGTTGAGGATCGAACTCAGGGCCTTGCACGTGCTAGGCAAGTGCTCTACCACTGAGCCACAACCCAGCCCCCTGGGTTTTGTTTTTATAAATTGCTTTTTATTTTTAAAATTTTAAGTTGTATAACCACCTTTTAGAGTTATGGATAGTTGGGCCTACTGGCACACACCTGTAATTCTGGATATTCCAGAGGCTGGGGCAAGAGCACCACAAGTTTGAGGCCAGCCTGGGCAACTTAGTGAGACCCTATCTCAAAATTTTAAAAAGGAGTAGGGCTGGGGATGTAGCTCAGTAATTAAGCACCCTTGGGTCTGGTCCCCTGTACCAAAAACAGGAAACCAACAAAACAGAGAAGCAGCAGAAGCAGCAGCAGCAGTAGATGTTAACACAGTATTAAAATGAATAATGTTATTCTTGGCCTGCTGTCTTTTCTATAAATCCTTCTCTAGAGCAAGGGTCTTCACATCTACTTGTCTTCAGGAGTCCCTCTGTGGGTTGAATGCTTGTTGTTTTAGTTCTCCAGAATGACCCAAACGGTTCACATCTGAATTTCTACTTGCTATTCATCAGTCAGTAAAACTCTTGGAAATTGAAAAAACTGATTGAATCAAAATTTTAAAGTTCTGGGTCAATTCCATGTTTATTTGCTTTTTGTATAATATGCCTGCCTTGTATTTTTCAGATGTATCTCAATTTTTTTTGTGGAGTTCCAGACATATTTTGCTCAGGATTATGCACAAACAGCATGGATCCATTCCATTGTAGACTGTGTGACTATGCTTTGTGGTGAGTATCACATATTGGGATAGACAATTCCCAGATACCCTTGAACTGTCATGCCCATGACCTCTGACCAGATTAGAGAAAATGACTTTGATTACCAGTTTTTCTAAGTGTAAGGATTATGTTAAAAATTGTACCTTGAGATAGAGTCTCATTAACGTTTCCCAAGTTGGCCTTGAACTTGTGATGCTCTTGCCCCAGCCTCTGGAGTATCTGCAATTACAGGTGTGTGTCAGCAGCTCTCTACCCACCCACCCCCAGCCCCCACCAAAAAAAAAGAAAAAGAAAAAAATGTTGGCTAAGACTATATTAAAAGAAAAGATCAATCCTACCTATAGCCAACCTAACCAGACTTGCTTTTGGAATTAATAGTTTTGGCTGATGCTAGATGGGAGAAATAATTAATACACAGAAAAAGGCACATATCACCTGGTTCTTCCATATAAAGAGGTAGGATGCTGATCATCATAGAACTTGTCCTGATTTGGGGAGCAGTTTACCACATTGTACATGCTTGACTTTTGTTTTACAAATGCCATAGCATCCTTTTTCTCCAATCCAGTAAACAGTCACTGAATAGCACCATGAGTCATTTCTATATGCTCTCCTAAGTGAGAGGCAAGAGTGTTGCCATTACATCTCAAGTCTTGGTTTGCATCCCATTCCCTTCCCAGAGGGTTCAGAATTTGTCTCTCAGATTTTATCTTTTCATGCATAAATCTTCTTGCTTAGTAAAGTGTTGGGGAAGGATAAGATTGTATAATCAGGAGCTAAAAATATTCATTCACTGTGGCTATAATTTCATTCAAGAAACCTCAGAGGTTCTTTTTAAAGGATGTAGAGTGTTCTAAAAATTCATGGAAACCAACATTGCATTGGTATAGAAGGAGAAAACAAACTTTGATGTTTTTCTTTTTATAAATTTCAGTCACAGTTAGCAATTGTTAAAGTTTCTAAGATCGGATTAAATTGGAACAATCTGTGTATGGCCTAGACTCACTTAATCCTTTCACTTAGAAGAGTTTCTAGTACTCTAGAAAACTTATTTCTTCAAGTCATGTCTCAGTGGCAAAAGAGAAATATTGTAATATTCAAAAACTCATATCTTCATCTGATTCCATTCTAGTTTCTGACTCATATTTATTTTTAGGAAAAAATGTATATTCTCAGGAGTCAATTGAATTGTGCTGAAATGTATTTCTTGGGAAGAAGTTGAGAGCAATTGTAGAACTAAAAACAGATTTCATGAGAAAACCAATTTGACTTTTTCAACTAATAAAAGGTCTTAGGAGACCAAAAAATAATATATTTTGGCTTTGGAGCCTGACATTTTTTTTTTCCCTCTTCAGCTATCACTTGATTTGAGGGTCATATTGTTAGTCACAGCATTTGTATCAGCTCGCCAAGAGGCTGTCTGTCTTTCTCAGAGGATATGGGTGACTCATTTCCCTCACTGTTATCTTTTGGAGAATATTTGTAATCCCCCAAAGAGGGGTAAATGGCTTTAAGTGACCGATGACTATGTGAGACTTTGAGGGTCATGTCAGAAGCAGTGTATTTAAGCTCTGTGCAGGAATGTGAGAGCCCATATATGAATACAAGCTAAGTAACTCCACATCATGTATGACCACAAAAGTGGGAAGTTATACTCCATGTATATATGATATGTCTAAATACATTCTACTGCCATATATAACTAAAAAGAACAAAGAATTTTTTTTAAAAACAGAATGTCAGAGCTGTTGTTATACCCAATTATATATTCTTACCTGCTCACTAGGTCAGATAATACTAGAACATTAGAGTTTAGAGTATGGACAAGAGACTGCTGAATCACATCTGGGACACCCGCTGGACAAAATTTGCCATATGATGAACAGAGAAGTGAACCTTATTCATTGAGGGTGTGTGTGTGTGTGTGTGTGTGTGTGCGTGTGTGTGTGTGTGTGTGTGTGTGTGTAAATTTTGATATAAATTTTGTCACTTTCCAACAAACATAGTAGCACAACCTTGAGAATTCTGTATGTTCTTCAGAGATTCACTCATTCCTCTTCTCCAAGGGTTATATATATAGCTGATGTCTGAGTCTACATGGACATTGCAGTCCACCTCCATTTTAAACCTGCTCGGTACAGAAATGATCATATTATACAGCTGCCCAAAGCATCAGCTTTTCTGAATTTATTCTTAGAGTACTGGTGTCTGCATGAATTTTTCTTCAGGAAACAAACCACCCAGCTTTCCTACCCATCAATCTTGCCATTGTCTGGGAGACCAAGGAGTTATAAGATGAAATAACCCCATACTTAGCGTCAGTTGCCCTAAGCTGTACTTCTTGGTGACCACAGGCAGCTATATACCTCTTTTCTGGCCACATGCAGCTTTAACTAATATTCTATAAGCCTTGAGGCCAACATAATTCAGATTTACTGGTAAATAGCAGATGAAGTGAAGCCAACCAGAATGTCACCATGCATGTAAAACAATTTCCTTAGAATTTTCTAGGCTTTGATCTCTCATCCACATGATGGCAAGCCTGCATGCAGTGCCCGATGGAGGGATTTATCTTGCATTTTCAACCTGGTCTTCTGCTGCATGACATTGCTGGTGGCACAGGGCTGCCCACTTTCTTTCTCCATCAATTAACTGTCATCAACATTGCTGATGGTGTATGCCAATAGTACATCAAAGATCCTTGTTCAAGTGACATGTAATTTAAGTAAAGAGTTGATCCACTGTTTAAAAAACACCCTATGGCCCTGGGACCGTGGCTGTAATGGAATGAAGATAAGGAAGAGGTACTGAAATGCAAGGTGGGCCGCTTGAGTTTTATACTGGCTCTGCTGCTTATTCTCTGTCCGGTCATGGACAGGTCACTTCTCTCTGGGCCTCAGTTTCCAAAGCTGTAAAATCAGTGAGGTGGGCTTGGTACTTTAATGGTTGATTGTTAGGGTTGTGGTTGTAGCCAAGTGGTAGAGTTCCTGTCTAGAATGTGTGAGGTACTGGGTTCAATCCTCAGTACCACATAAAAGTATATAAAATAAAGGCCTAAAAATGTTGTATCTGCTTAAAAATAAGTAAACAAACAAAGGTTAATTGTTCTCTGCCCTGCCAATGCAATACCACAGCCTTCTCACAGGGTCCACAAGACATTTCTGTTGAACCTCTTTTTTTAAATTATTTTTAAAGCTCCACTTGGGAGTGCTGTCAGTAACCACTTATCCTGTCAAGTGGGAATCATGCTGGGTGGCTTGCTTGCATCTACTGGTTTCATCCTGGGCTCATTTGCCACCAGCCTGAAGCATCTCTACCTCACTCTGGGAGTTCTTACAGGTAAGGGCACTTTGTGCCACTCATCTCACCCTCTTCCACTCAGGTATTGCCAAGCATACAACAGAGCAGTGATTTTTAATGCACAGTTTAGCTGACATAGGTTATGTCTGCCTACCTAGCAGTTAAACAGAGTTGCAAATGCTATTGCACTACCCTAATGAAAATGTATCACCACCTTAATTCATTCATAGGATAAAAGTAACTATTACTTTTCTCTTCAGCATTAATATATGGCTGAGGTTCTGTATTCAGAAGAAACGAGATTTCACTCAGCACGATATAAGTTTTCAGCAATGGTCATTCTCCTAATTTCTTTGCCAAGACATTAAAATACTATCTGTGTTTAATCTGAATTTCCCTTGTTTTATGATGAATATCATTATCTAGTAAGTAGGAATTGCCAATTTAAAAAAGATAGCCCCTTGTGAACATTCCTACATTACACATAATTTACATTACAGATAATTTATAGCACCATTCTCAATGTTATACAAGCATTGCTTCAGAGAATCATAATGAATTCCATGCAAAGAGAAGCATCACATGTACTTTCCATAAATCACACTTAAGGGACTGTGTCAGATCAAGATGGCGTTGGTTGGTGGAATTGGAATAGCAGTTTGCTCATCATTCAGAAGAGTGTGGAGAGTAGCACCCAGTCTTATCTGGGTACTGTGCATGGATCAGGCCAATGAAGGATGTAACCTTCACAGGAGGCTGTAAATCAAGCTTAAGAAAATATATCCACCCCTAGTAACCTGAAGGGCCTGACCGCTAAGTGGTCAGAAATCTTTTACCAGGGACTGTCCTGGTTTTAGCTCTGAAAGTCCCATATCCAGAAACCCCTAAGTCCAGGCAACTCTAGATTGCTGACCACCCTGCACTGTAGATGGAAATAGATCTGAGGGGTTTTCTTCTTTCCCTTCTCTGACATTCTAGAGGCCATGAAATCTAGGCTTAAAGCACTACTCATTCTCAGGGGCTTTGTTTTGAAACTCTGTTTGTGATGCCTTGATGTGGCCAATTACTCTTAAGGAGGACCAATCAAGTCCGGATCTTAATTTAAAAAGTAACAGAAGCTGAAAACCTTTAGAAATCTGTGGACTGTCAACATTTTTTTGCTGACCTTAAGGGATATTTGCAGATTGCTATGTTCATAAATAAAGTTGGCATAATGTTTCCTGACTATATGATGCAGTCATATATGTTATTTCAATCCTAACTCCAGAGTGGTCCATATTATCAGTGTTACATCTTCATAGGCAGTGAAGATTACAGATAATTTATGGCACCATCCAGATTTTCTAATAAATTCCAGTTTAGTATGTATGATGATTTTTAACTTCTTCATTTAAAGTTGCTTAAGAAATTATATTTTTCTAAGAAGAAAGTCACACATATTCTGTATTTTGAAAATTATGGGTGACTGGTGAGGGGAGACTCATTTTCAGCTTGGTTTACAAAACAGCTTTTAAAGGATTTTGCAGAAGGTGTGGCTTTCTATAATCCAGATCTTCTGAGATGGCTTCTTCCACTGGCTGCTCATGATGTTCCAGCACTCACAGAGTTCTCTTTTTCCCAGGTCTTGGATTTGCACTTTGTTACTCTCCTGCGATTGCCATGGTTGGCAAGTATTTCAGCAGACGGAAAGCCCTTGCTTATGGGATTGCCATGTCAGGGAGTGGCATTGGCACCTTTGTCCTGGCTCCTGTGGTTCAGCTCCTTATTGAACAGTTTTCCTGGAGGGGAGCACTCCTCATTCTCGGGGGCTTCGTTTTGAATCTCTGTGTTTGTGGTGCCTTGATGCGGCCAATTACTCTTAAAGAGGACCGTTCAAGTCCAGAGCAGAAATGTGACTGTCGAACTCAGAAAGAAGACTGTAAGCGGGCAGCTCCCTATTCACCTTTGACCAAAGAATGGGCGCAGACCTGCCTGTGTTGCTCTTTGCAGCAGGAATACAGTTTTTTGCTGATGCCAGACTTTGTTGTGTTAGCCGTCTCTGTTCTGTTTATGGCTTACGGCTGCAGCCCTCTCTTTGTGTACTTGGTGCCTTATGCTTTGAGTGTCGGAGTGAGTCACCAGCAAGCTGCTTTTCTTATGTCCATACTTGGGGTGATTGACATTATTGGCAATATCACATTTGGATGGCTAACCGACAGAAGGTAAAATCCATGAAAACACAATCAATCAGTTCCCCACTAGGGGACCTTGAGTCTTGAACTTCCTCTCAACCCCTGACACTATAGAATACCTACATCTGAAGAAGTTTAGCAGGTCCTTGGTCTCTGAGGGCCACTCCCTAGATCATGGGTTAGCAAGGTTTTTATGTAAAGCAACAGAGAGTAAACATCTTTTAGGTTTGTGGTCTTTAGCACAGCTACCTAATATGGTGTTGTAGCAGCCACAGACAACGCGTTAACAAATAAGAGTAGCTGTGTTCTGTTGAGACTTTATTTATGCACACTGAATTTAGAATTCTCATGATTTTTACATGTCACCACATATCATTCTTTTGATTTTTTCCAATTATTTTTAAATGAAAAAAAGTCATTCTGGGTTCACAGGTAGTCCAAAAACAGGTGGCAGGCTGGACCTAGCCAAAATTTGCCTACCCTTGTTCTAGATGGTTTACAATGTTGAGTCTAAGTTGCAGAAGCCAAGGGTAACTACAAGTTCTTGCAACATATTTAATTCCATCCCAAGTAAATGTTGTCCTCAAGCAAGACAACTTCTGGCTGGTGTTATGGGTTTAATTTCTTTTTAAGTACCCCAGAGAGGGGCTGGGAATGTGGCTCAAGTGGTAGCGCACTCACCTGGCATGTGTGTGGCCCAGGTTCGATCCTCAGCACCACATACAAACAAAGATGTTGTATCCGCCGAGAACTAAAAAATAAATATTAAAAAAAAAGTACCCCAGAGATTGACTTGCAATGGGAAGAAGAGCAGAATCCAGGCAGGAGGGCCAGATACCATAATAATCCATTATCTGTAGCCACATATTTATGTTTGACAGTGAAAATAGTAAGTAGTTCTAAGTAGACTTAGAAACCAAAATGATAAGAAAACTACCAAGTAGTGTCTTCAGCAAATGCTCATCTGTTTGGATTGAAGTGTGTAGGTTACTCATGTCTCCTAAATGAAGGACTCTTTATACTTAAATTATGACTTGGGAGAGCTATGTCATGAAGGTTCTTATAAGTTATGTCTTTGGTAATTAATCAGGTTCCAAATGCCATTCTCCAGTGTTATGAATACAATATTTAGGAGTAATTCCAGTTTTTTTGTGTGTGTGTGGTGCTGGAAATCGAACCAAGACCTTGTACATGCTAAGCAAGTGCTCTATCACTGAGCTGCACCTCCAGCCTCTCCACATTTTTAACTAAGGAGGAAAGGGCGGAGGAAGGGAAATCTATAAACAGCAATTCAGTGAGAAGCAGCTTATTGTAGGTCTGCAGGAGGATCTCTAGTCTGAGACACGTAAGACATAAGTTCTTGTGCCTGCTCTGCCCTTGATTAGTCCTGTGACCCAGGGAAAATCATCTAACCCTCAGATGCTCAAGGGTCTTCACATGTCAAATAGATCAGTGCAATGTTTACTGGTCAACCTGATACCATTTTGTGAGGCTCAAATAAGCTAGGAAGAGAAAAGTGTTTATAAAACAAGCTGCTAGAGTTGACATTGTAAGACTTTCTGAAATAATTGGTGTTGTAGATGGGTTTGGAGTTACAGAGGAAAAGTAAAATGGAAGTTCCACTCACTGGGAAAGTTTTAAAACAAGACTTAGTTGTAGTACAAGGCCTTTGTCATCTCTGGCAATTCATTTTAATGTTTTCATATTTCAGTTTCCCCTTTGTATAGCCACTTGAGTTATATGCAGATACCAATAGGTAACATATCTAAAGGATTCAATATGGTAGATGGCTAAAAAGTATTAATATCCTGACACTCTGCATATTTCACAGCTACCTTTAGAGTAAGTCTGAAATTGGTAGCCTTCTCATTTTAGAGTGAAAGAATTTGAAGTTCAAAGTAGGCAGAGTAGATGATAGAACTGATTTCCATCTTTCACCTTCCTTATTTTATAGCACATATTCTTTCTACCATACTGTGCTTCCTGGGAAGATAGAGTACTGTATTTGCATATGCCAAAAAAAGACAGGAATGTGTAATGGGGGAGCCATCCCTATAAATAATTGCAATGCTTACTGCTGCATGGCCATGGTTTTAAAGCTTCTGTATAGCAACTGTGCATCCTGCACTCATTCCTGTTTTTCAAATCCACAGGTGTCTGAAGAATTACCGGTATGTTTGCTACCTCTTTGCTGTGGGCCTAGATGGGCTCTGCTATCTCTGCCTTCCAATGCTTCGAAGTCTCCCCCTCCTGGTGCCTTTCTCTTGTACCTTTGGCTATTTTGATGGAGCCTACGTGACCTTGATCCCAGTAGTGACTGCTGAAATAGTAGGGACCACCTCTTTGTCATCAGCGCTGGGTGTGGTGTACTTCCTTCATGCAGTGCCCTACTTGGTGAGCCCACCCATTGCAGGTAAGTGTTCAGAGATCCCCCAACCACTTTTGTCCTATTGATTGCAAAGAGTGAATCCCTCTTCATAGACATACACGATGAAGATTTTAAGAGAGTTGAGGAAGAATGAAAGAGAACAGGATGCAAGAGCCACCCCAGAACATCATGATCTTACCCACATTCTTGTTTTTTCCAACCATATGGGAACTTTAGCCTTCCTGGAAAGAAAAAAGTCCCAAATTAGCATCTCCGTTCCATTCCACACTAATCATGGGAGCAATGGAATGGAGCAGCTGTTCAGATTTCTAAGTGAGTAGAGCACATTCAGAAGGAAACCTGGTGGGAGGATAGGGTTCCAACAGGGGGCAGTGAGGATGAAATGAGAAAGTGCTGGTGGCATAGTGGGGTGTTTTGAGTGACAGGCAAAGAAGCTGGGCTCTATGTCCTTCAGAGACTGTGGAGAGTATTAACGTTTTTGTGCACGGGGGTAATGGTAAAAAGGATATGACACTAGGTTCCAAATAATTACTAGGACAAAGAAAATGAACATGAAATATCTTACTAACAATTATTTTCTTTGCAAATTATATTGATAATCCACTGGGTTAAATGAAAATATATTAAAATCAATTTCTCTATTTGTTTAAAAGAGAGAAAGAAGTAAAGGAGTACCAAGATAACATATTCTGTATCTTCACAGTAGTACTATATATCCATATTTATATGTTGTCATTTTTTATATTTATGGTATCAAAATTCATATTACTTTAAACTAAATAGGGCAAATTGTACCATATATAAATTATATCTCAACAAACATGACTTTAAAAAAGAAATCTAGTTCATGAAGTATTTTAACAGTATTGGGCACATACTAAGTTTTTATAAATACTTATATACTAAATATTTATAACCTGATAAATAATGGCTATTATTATGATTCATTAAAACAACCAGCATCAAGCTATTTCATAGTGGGGTAGGAAGGAGGAGCATGAGAGGAATAGAGGAATTCCAGATAGGGCAAAGGGGTGGGAGGGGAAGGGAGGGGGCATGGGGTTAGAATTGATGGTGGAATGTGATGGACATCATTATCCAAAGTTCATGTATGAAGACATGAATGGTGTGAATATACTTTGTACACAACCAGAGGTATGAAAAATTGTGTTCTATATATGTAATATGAATTGTAATACATTCCATTGTCATATATAACAAATCAGAATAAAGAAATAAATTTTTAAAAGGATATTTTAGAAAGATGTGATCTAGCAATTAATCCAGTGATTTAGGATAGAGGCAGTTCAGATTCCATTGTAATAGTTCAGGAATCAATTGATAGAGGCTTAAACTAGGGTTGATGCAGGAGAAGTGGAAATTAACTCTGGGGACAAGGAGGAGATTTGAAAAAACATAAACTGAATTCAGCATAGGGGGATGAAGGGGAGAGAAGGAAGTGAAAGATGACTTAGAAAATAATGTCATGATTGAAAGTCATAGGGAAATTGGAGACAGTGGCTTTGTCTGAAAAATAACAAATTTAAAGTTGAGATGTATTGAGATATCTGAAATAAACAGGTGAAAATACTCAAAGGAGTTATTCAAATAAAATATGTACTTTAGGGAGTGAAGAGATTTGGATATACAGATTTGGGAGTCATCAAGTAAAGGATCTAGCTGTAAAATGCTAGCCAGGTATAGTGGCGCATGCCTGTAATCCTAGGGGCTTGGGAGACTGAGGCAGGAAGATAGCAAATTCAAAGCCAGCCTCAGCAACTTAGTGAGACACTAAGCAACTTAGCAAGATCCTGTCTCAAAATAAAAATTTTTTGAAAAGGGCTGGGGATGTGGCTCAGTGGTTAAGCACCTCTAGGTTCAATCCCTGGTACAACAACAATAAAAATCTGTGAAATGCTATAGAAACTGGGAGCATGATCAAACAAATAATTCCACAAACATTTACTGCATGCATTAAACAAGTAATCCAACAAATATTTATTGCTTTTATAACCAGCATGGTGTTTGGCACTGGTGATTCAGTAACAAACAGGTCAGAACCTATTTCTTCTTTCTGGAGCACATGGTGTAGACCAGTGATTCTGGGAATCCTGCATCCAAATTTCCTAATACCTTTGCCAAAATTTGTTGCAGATTAATTTGTTGCAGATTCTTTGAACTTTTCACCTAAGATCTGAATCTTTGGGGGTAAATTCCAAGAATCTGCATTTCCAACCAGCTTTCTTATGATGTTCATGCACACTAAAGATTGAAAGTAAACGGTCTAGATTATTATCTGTCTAAATTAAAACCAAGAGTGAACAAGATAGGCAAGAGGAAAAGGACCCAAATACTTGCCTAGGAAGAAGGGAGTTTCTTGAGGAAGGCAGGATTTCTGCTATTTGCTGCTATTATGAATGCACAGTTTAAGGTTATTTCCAAACCCCAGGTGAAAGTTCCTTATCAGTCTAAACTCCACAATATGGGATTCCGAGTTTAGTCTTCATTTTTGGAAACGGCCCTCCACATATTCCCATGTCCTCTCTCCAAAGCTAATTACAGGGCTTACCAACTTTTAGGAACAGTATAATTCTGCTACATATCACAAAACCCAAATGAAATTGGTATTCCTGGACCTTTTTCCCCAAATTCTGGCAAATCAGATATTATACACATTAATGGAAGTTAAAGGATTAAGATGTGAGTTCCTGTCATAATAATTTTCTTGTTTATTTATCTTTAAATGAGAACTCTCCACTCAGTCTCTATTTGGTACTTCAGAAATACATGTGTAAATCAGGTGATAACTAAAATGTTTGAGAATAGCTGAATTGTAGAAAACTTTATAGGACATAAAACAATTTCTACAAATGCCATTTTTGACTAGTAGATTTGAGATGGGCAAAAGGAGAAACCAAATACTTCTCTGGTAGATTTCTTGGCATGTAAGCCAAATTTGGAGGAATTAAAAAAAACTTTTTGTTAATCACAAAGTAATTATCTACCACAGTTCAATTTTATCACACTTATTCTCTGATCATTTTAGTCCATATTTTGCATATCATACACCTGGTTTTCCTCAAAATTTAAACCAGGATAGATGTTGAGATTAATTTGTTGCAACAAGAGATAAAGGAAGTAAAAACTGTGCTTACAAGTGTACACCTTCAGAAGTATGCTTTTGCAACATCTATGATGGTCTGAAATTCTGATTTTCAAACTGGATGGGATATAGTATAATTTTCAAACTGGATCCAAATTAAGATTTGGACATTGCTCCACAGCCTATTATATTATTTAAGATAGTCGTGGGAGCTGGGAATACCACTAACACTTAATGTGATAATATTTTCTTAACCCCCTGAATTATCCCAGCTTCAATAATCTGAATGATGTTGAAAGTCACAGGATACACAATAAAAACTTAAGTTTTTATCTTTTCTACCAGATTTCCTGGGTTTACTAATAACTAATTCTTACTGTGTGATTACTAAGTACACAGCACCATTCCAAATATCTCACTTAATAACGACAATCAATTTGTTTTTAGAAGTTGCCCTAAAAAATAGAATGCATTTCTCAGTTGATGCACAATATTTTTAGGCGGTCTGCTTTTTGTCTCAAAATTGTCATGTTAGCACTAGCGATCTATTGTTATTATCCTTACAGATTATTCGATTTGCGAGTGGGTAAGAGCAGTGATTGAATTTTCAACTTAAGGATGTAATTTTGCTGCTGTTTGTTGCAGGATGGCTGGTGGATACGACTGGCAGCTACACTGCAGCGTTCCTTCTCTGTGGATTTTCAATGATCTTTAGTTCTGTGTTGCTTGGCTTTGCTAGACTTGTAAAGAGGATGAAAAGAACCCAGCTGCCATTCCTTGCCAAAGAATCTGATCCCAAGCTGCAGCTTTGGACCAATGGATCAGTGGCTTATTCTGTAGCAAGAGAATTAGATCAGAAAGATGGGGCTTCTGTGGCTACAGCAGCTCCTGGTTACAACCTCACATGACCAATGGCCTTCAGCCTGGGAATCTTTGGGGCTGATGGAAGAAAGGCCACCAGACTGGGCATATTTCTGAAGCATTTTATTTTGGCAGAAGTATTGCCTTCTAGGGAAATCATTATTATTGTTTTGTTAACATATTTATAAGGGAAAATAGAAAAAAAATAAAGAAAGCTGGACTAGCCTAGAGTTTCTTCGTTTGTAATTTGGACTTGTAATATTGCTCTTTGGGGAATGGAAGGAGTTGATAGTGTTGGCTGTGATTAAGGGTAGTTCCAAGGCATAGCCAAAGCAAGTGACCTGGCAGCAGCACTGTAATCCCCAACACTCTGCTCCCATCTCCACCCCCTTCATCCCCCCTCAGAAGGCAAACAGAAACACTGACACGTGGGATTGCTTATCCTATGCAGTTTGCAGAAGTGAGGGGGGTCATCTTGGGTGTGCTGGCAGAGTGTGAAAATGCCAATCCTTTTCCAAGGTGGAGTTCCTCATTAGGGTTTTCAACAGGGTGGTTAAAGCATACTTGAGATTCTTGCAAAGGTAATGATTAATATAAAAAGAGACCCCCGTCCCCATACCCCTTTCTTAGTCTTCCAGCTAGCCCTTGCTTCTGCCAATGGGTAGATATCACTTTGAGAATCCATGAAATGCCATGGTTGGAATGGCATCTTAAAGGGTAGCTGGTAAGATCTGTTTGAAATTGCTTGAAATGGAAAGCTCCTTTCCTAAGACTGTCCCAGGCACACACCTCTGTTACTATCACATACTAACTGTAAATTCAGGAGGACCTGTCAAGTCACAAGGGCAGCCTTTCTATCTTTTCTAAAATATTAATGATGCCAAAATTTCAGAGTGAGGGGGAAAAAAAACAACGCTCATTTAAACTGCAGACACATTTCTGCTAGGAACAGACAAATGTTGGCAGTATTCCAACTGAGCAGGAATTGAATTCTTGAATCAGCAGGTCTCTGGTGAGCATTTTCTTTGCAGATCAGACATTAGATTCATCATTACCCAGAAGAGCACTTGGGGGATTTGAACTGAAAAATATTACCCTAGAGATATTCTGAAGGTGAGATCCTGTGTTCGTTCTTGGTGCAACGCCTAGTGCTTTTCATCTCTTTATGGATAATAACTAGAAACCTAACCCACTGGATTATACTAGTTTATTCATCCCCCAGATACCCCACTTTCCAGTGTTTTGGGATCATTTCTGAGTTTTCAGATCCAAGAGGAAGGTTTTGGAGAGAGAAGAGAAAGGCCAGGTCCCCCGGTTTATCTCTAGCTGTTTGAAATTCACAGAGTTGTAATCTCAAGTCCCAAGTCATGTCAGATCTATAAACACAGATGAGTTGTATAATTACAATGGGGGTGGGGGTGTGAGGTTAATTATTRAAGAATTTAAAATCCAAACTTCAAAAAAATATTTTGACCCCAAAGACCATTTAGCCCACTATCCCTCAAGAGGCCTCTCCAATGACCTGCCAGGGTTACAGGAATTAAAACAAAGAAAGGGGGAAGATTTGAAGTTGGCTGAAGAGTCCTTGCTTGGAACTGGATTATTTCACCAAATTAATTGTTAGTTTATTGCCTGCAGAATGAGATACTGGCTTGATTTAATATTTCATAATTGTTTTCCAAAAAGAAATATGAATGTTGTCTGTTATCTCTTTCCACAGTTTGAGAATTGAGTTTTTGAATCCATGGAATTTGTCATTTGAAATTTTAAAAAATATTTTGAAAAAATCTGTAAAAAAAAAATCAAAGTTAAAATGAAGTTATATATGTTTGGAATAGCACTTTACCTTAAATATCATTTCTTTAATCTTTAAGCCAAATATTTTTTAAAATTTAAGTAGCTATAAATACTCATACATATTTTTTCATAGTGATCACAGTAAAGTTTTTGTTTATGTGCTTCTATAATATAATTTCTCTAAAGTATTTATGAAAAATGAGCATAATGAGAGGTTTTAAAGATTTGTATAAAATGATTTGGGATATTGTGACTTTGTACATGCATAAAATTTGCATTTTACTTTCTCTCCTGGAGCAGAATTTTCAGAAAGCCAGTCAGAAAAATGTAGATCCACAATATTGCCATCTGCTCAGAATTTTACTGTTAATGTTCCATATATTTATATGGTTTATTTCAAAACTGAAGAATTCATGGGAATKATGTATTTTATGGGATCAAGAACAAAACTGTAGTAGAATGATTCTACATCTTGAATATTTCTTTATATCATTGTAAATTTTACTTTGGAATTGACTGAGTAGAAAAGCTGAAAAAATTACCTACTTTTATAGTTGTGCTCTACTTTTGGGCCCTTTGTTCAGATTATAATTTCACTAATAAATTAGATATGTATGCTAATATTTTCCTATTTCAAATAAAATGAGTTTATAGTCATATGCTTGGAACAATTTTTTCCTTGGACAAAGGGTTTAGACAGGATGGTGAATGAGTTTCTCTGGTAATGCTAAGATGTAGGTAGGCGATCTACAAAATTCAAACCCTTTATTGAGTACTTCTGCTGTGCTAGCTACTCTACTAGGTGCTTCCTATGCATTGTCTCATTTAATCCCTACTAACCTATATCATTACAGTTTTGTAGATATGGTAACTGAAGCACCAGATCCTGTAACATTGGAGTACTGTTCAATGCTGGAACCTTTGGTGCCTACTCGGATCATCTTTTGTGAGTTCAAGAAGCCATTATGAAGTAGGCTCTCCCTTTGGGCAGATAAAAATCCTTTGCATTATGCTTCAACTTTCCAACCAGCACAGAAGGGAAGATTTTAGATTGGAAATTTCCAAGACTTTTCCCAAGAGATCTCATCAAAGACACTACTTCCAGCTAATTTGCTGGTGACTGACCCAGGCTTTTCTTTGGGAGTTGGGGGATGGAGATATTGGGGAGCATACTTTTTCCCCAAAGTGAGTTCCACCTTCTGAGTGATCTAAGGCATGCTTTCCCCGTCAGCAGTGAGTTCTTTCTGAAGTGCCTGCGCCATAGTCGGTGTCTATTTGGCACTCACCTTCCTGGTCCTGATAGATCTAATTCTGAAAGTATTTATTGAAATGAAATAGTATGAATTCAGGATAGATATCAGAGTTTCTCTTCTCATGCTTCAAAGTTTGAGTCTTTTTAATTTTTTTAACTCCACCAGAATATATATTTTTATACCTGTTACCAGAGCGCTAAAAGTCCGTCCGTGACAGTAATTGTGATTCTGTCTCATAGTACACAGAAGTATTTGGTGGCAGGATTGGGTATTAAATAATGACAAAAGAATGACATTTAAAATAGAATACTAACGAACATTCCAGACATGTACAAAAGTAAAAAAAAAAAAAAAATTTAAATGAATTCCATGCGCCCATCCCACAGAAGCTACAATTCCTACAATTCCTCCCCTTCAAAGAAATAAGTTGGAATATATTAACATGTTGGTAGAATATGCCTTCCAGAATAACTGAACTTGCTGCCCAGAATAATGGAACTTGGCAAGAACAACTTTTCATACCAGCAGAGGGCATGGGTGGTTGGTATACTGTCACCTATTAATGGGCTCCATTGCTCACAAAGCAGACTGGGAACCCTTTTTTGCTATGGACTTGGAATCTGAATTGAGGGTTAAAACTTCCTCCACTACTCTATATCCCTCTTGCAGGCTTATATACCCGAGGCCTAGGATGACAATAAGGAGAAAGTGCACTCGAGGTCATTATTTCTCTCATTGTTCTTAATTGATTAAGAGTCTAGGATCTCTTTGAGGGGYCTGGGACCTAAGATTGGCCTAAAATCAAAGAAAATTACTCTATGTTCAAGGTTTTGACACTAAAAAGAATTAATGTGGCATTATAAATGCAGTCCTTTTAAAGCTTTCCCCTAAAAGTGTTACTTTTGTGATGGCAAGTATGGTCTTCTCACACCAAAGGATCTAATGATGGAAGAGGTAGAGCTCATGATCCTAGGAAGAAGACTTATTCTCATTCCAGGAGAGTTTGTTTTTGCAACTGGGTCAGAGCAGGGTCTAAGTGTGTGTCTTGGGAAGAATCTGGAAATGAGGGGATGGAATGGGGAAGCCTCTTTGTTCCAGCAGACACCAGAGATCTCTGTGTCTCTAAATGTGTCGATTCCTGCTCACACAGAGATAGGAAAAAAATCAGATACCTAACTTTAGTATCTAAAGTTCAAATAGGGACCAGGTGAGGTGATGCACRCCTGTCGTCCCAGCAGTTTGGGAGGCAGAGGTAGGAGGATCGAAAGTTCAAGGCCAGACTCAGCAAATTAGCAAGCCCCTAAGCAACTTTGTGAGACCCTAAAAACTAAAAAAGGCCGGGATGTGGCTCTGGGTTCAATTCCTGGTACCTAAATAAACAAAACTGCAAAATAAAGTTCAAACAGGAGAGGGRAAAGCCTTTTTCAAAATCCCAGTATTTGTAGGTTTGGTATGACCATTCAATACCCACACTGGAATATGACTGTGTTAGTCAGCTTTTTGTCGCTGTGACAAAGATACCTAGAAGAACAACTTAGAGAAGGAAAAGCTAATTTGGGCTCACAGYTTCAGAGGTGCAGTTCATAGTCAGCTGACTCTGTGACCTGAGGTGAGGCAGAACATCATGGAGGGAAGCTGCTCAACTCATGGCAGCTGGGGAAAAGAGAGCGACAGTGAGGAGCCAAGGACAAGATATGAATCCCAAGGGCACACCTCCAGTGGCCTGCTTCCTCCAGTCATGCCCCACCTGCCTACAATTACCATCCTTTAATCTATGTGTTATGGTTTAGATATGAGGTTTCTCCCAAGAGCTCATGTGTGAGACAATGCAGGATCTTCAAAGGGGAAATAAGGGGAAGTGATTTGATTATGAGAGTGACATGTAAGCAGTGGTTCAATCCATTTATGGATTAACTGGGATATAATTGTCAGCAGGTAGGATGTGACTGAAGGAAGTAGGTCATTGAGGGTGTGACTTTGGGGTTTATATTTTGTCCATGGCAAGTAAAGCCCTCTCTCTGCTTCCTGGCTGCCATGTCCTGAACTGCCTTCCTCTGTCATACCCTTTTGCCTTGATGCTCTGCCTCATATTGGGCCCACAGCTATGGAGTTGACCAACCATGGTCTGAATCTCTGAAACAATGAGCCAAAACCATGTTTCCTCCTTTACATTGTTCTTGTCAGGTCTTGTTCATAGTGATGCAGAGTTGATTAAAACACCATTCAAATTATTAATCCACCAAATGGATTAACATGTCAGTTATCTTACAGCTCTCATAATCTAATCATTTCACCTCTGAATATTCCTGCATAACCTAACACATGAGATTTTAGGGGAGACCTTATATCCAAACCAAAACAATTATTTACAAGGTAGCATGGAGTGTGCATCCCCTGTTGGGCTACATCCCTGACCTCTCTGCATACTTCAGCACTCAGTCTACCAGTTCCTCTAATTACCAAGCTCTGACTGGGGGCATTTTGTATGTTGAYCCCTATGTACACTCACTATTTTTTTTTCTTGCAGTACTGGTGGCTGGRCCCAGAGGTGCTCTACCACTGAGCTCTATCTCTAGCCTCTTTTATTTTGAGACAGGATCTCTAAATTGCTACAGTTGGCCTAGAACTTCCAATCCTCATTGTCTCAGCCTCCCAAGTCACTGGAATTATAAGCATGTGCTGCCTGGTCCAGCTCACTTCTTATCTTTTGAGCCAGAGCTTCAAAGCCACTTCTCTAGAGAATCTTTAATCACTGCCCGTATCTGTTACATATCCTCCACCTGCATTATTTTTTCTCATGTTCTTCAAAGAACATGTTA